ATCTTCAGCCACCACTGGTTCATTTTTCCTTTCTAGTTGATCATGGTCGATCTTGTCTTCTTTCCTTTTGAGTTCTGCATTTTTCCTTTGCATCCTCCTTTTTTTGGGTACGTGTAGGAGGCTGCTTAGGAAACTTTGGGTGACTTACTCGAGTCCATCTGCCATGGTCAACCAAAGGAGGTCTAACCGTTCTTACACGGCTAGATTCTTCTCCTTTTTGAACCCATATTTCTGACTGAATTGTTGGTTTCCTTTTGAAATTAGGATAAAAATGTTGTTCTGGCAGGACTCTATCGGCCACCGATGACCGAATGATTCTCACTGCCCTCGGCCCATTTTCTCTAAATATTGATCGATTGATTTCTTCGTGATTCTGTTTAGGCTGATGGCCTAACCTTTCATGGACACTGCGCTTTCTGGTTGATTGGAAATAGCCCCTCTTGTCTGAGTCATTCCTTCGGCCTTTGCAATTTGGACAACAACCATGGTTGATGAGGGCAATTTGAGCTTCTCTTAACTGAATTTCCAAGTCCTTAACTTTCTGCTCATCATTACTGGCCGATGAACTACCAAGAACTTTTGGTAATCTTTCCTGTCTACCATTATCAACGGCTTTTTCAGTTGCCAGGCTGATTACATTGGTACTAACAATATTAGGAAATGGATCGCCATCGACCCTCATTACATCTGGCTTCTTTTCAGGGAATTTTAATACACCTTCATCGATAGATTTCTGCAATACATTTCTAAATACATAACAATTATTAGTAGTATGATTCCATGAATTATGAAATTTGCAGAACTCTCTTCCTTTTAAATCATTGGTCGATGGTATATTGTGTCCTTTTGGCAAAACGATTTGTTTGTCGGCCAACAAATGATCAAAAATTTGTTCTGTTTTGGCCAGATCAAACGTATAAACCTTACCAGTATCAGCCGTACCCTTCCTGGCTGATGAAGTCGATGGCTGAGTCCCACTGATGGATACATTTGGTTTTGTTAAAGCGTCACATACATAAGGTTTCTTTAGAATGACTTCGGCTAAATTAGCTTCAAAATCTTCCTTTTCAACCACATCAGTTGAATAAACTTCATAGTTGGGGTCCCTATAGTACGTACCTTTAGAGGAATTTTTTCGTTCTTTCTCCTCTTTGAGAACCAACTCATACCTGGTAGCTTTCTCGGCCAGGTCATACATGTCACGAAATGGAACTCCTTCAAACCTCTTCCGAAGTTCAAAATCAAGGCCGTTCAAAGCCAAACGAATGTACTCCTATTCTGGAAGAGGTACACGACATCTTAATCTTGCTCTCCTGAATCTTGCAATGAATGTCTCGACCGATTCACTAGGCAATTGACTTAGCCTGGATAAATCGGCCAGAGTAGGTTCTGTCTCCGTACGGTAGAACTGATTGTGGAATAATTCCTCCATCTGTGGCCAATTAAAAACAGAGTTAGAAGGTAGACGAATATACCATGAAAAAGCTTCCTTTGTCAAAGAGTTAGGAAAAAGTCTCAATTTCAACCACGGGCTAACACTGGCCTCTCCACATTGAACCGTGAATCGGCCAATGTGTTCCACGGTCGATTGATTCCCCTCTCCACTAAAGCTTACAAAGTCAGGGACTTTATATCCTCTAGGGAACTCAACTTGGTCTACCACTTCTGGATAAGGAGTTCTATAAATTGGTCGGCCGGCACCTCTAAGTTCCAGGCCATATTCTTCTGTGAGTAAATCAGCTAATTGTCTTCTATCTAACATGACTTGAGGTGGCTGATTTAATATTGGTGGTACCTGATTAAAAACTGGCGGCTGATTAGCCGCTGGTTGATAGCAATTCGGCCAATCATGTGGCTGATTAGCCATATTCTGCCCCCCGAGCCCTACCTGTGGTGGCACATGAGTATACAGTGGGTTCGGTGGCCTCCACTTGATCTGATTGCCCCCCGAGTTCAAAGGCATCCGAGGAGGGTTTGGTGGAATTACCTGTGGCCGCGAACCTGCAATTGGTGGCTGATTAGAACCTGCCAACGTAGGCTGAGGATAGCTTTCTGCCCAGGTGAGTAGCGTATGAACCGGCTGACTTGATGTTGCACCTGGTTGGAGTGTCACTACTGGCGGCCATGGCTGTGATGTTTCAACGGCCCTCTCTGGCCGAGCAGCTTATGATAGATTCGGCTGAGAAGCCAATTCCTGATTGTTGGAGCTGCTAGCTTGAGTCGGCTTGTTCAAAATAAAGGCTGAGAGTTGGGACATATTTTCATGCAAATCGTTGTAGCGTGCTCCCATCCTTCCCATTGTATCTACCAAGGAGCTAACCTGTGCTTGAAGTACGGCTAACTCATCAGTAGGACCTGCTGCAGAGTTCTCAGCCTGTACTAGCTGATCGCCTTCCTCCAAATCTTCATCAGTAGCCACGGCTTTAGAATTTTTTGTGGGCCGTGGCATATTTGCCTCTTTTATAACACTCTAGTAGTGGTCCCACCGGGCGTGCCAAAACGTGTTCGCGCGGTTTTTGTTCCCTACGCCGGTTGATGGACTCTTCGCGGGCGTGCCAGAGTATTTGTACAAAATACCCAAAATATGTAATTGAACACCAGCCTATCCTTTTTTCCGATGGCTGACTCTCAGGCGATTGTGTGGGAGAGAGACTAGTAAGAACTCCCAGTAAGGTTCTTTTATGCCTTGTTTGTAGCAAGGACTTTTTAGAGTGTCTAAAGAAATGCAACGGCTGATGAATGTTTGAATGGATGGAATGGCCGAGTGAAGACAGGCGGCAAGAACTTAATCGATCGCCGGCCGAACGTGATGGCGAGAACTTAATCAATCGCCATCAGCCAAATACAATGGCAAGAATTTAATCGATCGCCACTGAAACGTGATAGCAAGAATTTAATCAATTGCCATCAGCCAAGTAATGACAAGAATTTAATCAATTGTCACTACGATTCAATGGCAAGAATTTAATCAATTGCCATTGAATTGAAAACCTAACTAAAATTGCGTAATTAAAATTGGCATAATTGAAATTGAAAGAAAGTAAATGGCTGAATCGAAATAGTTGACGAGGATCTAATCAATTGCCATTAAATTGAAATAAAGAAATTGATAGGAAAATGACGTAGAGTCAATTGAAAACATTTTTAGATGAAATGCATGTTTTGTGGTGGTGCTGGACGAATTGGAATAGGAATACAATACTTCTATTTATAGAAGTTCTATCTCAACTTATTTTCGTAATTACTTGCAAGAAAATCTCTTTGCTCCTTGATTTTCTTCACTTTATTACTCAAACTAAACCACGTTCCAGTAGTCTTTTGCTTCTCTTCTCTTTGTGCTTCAATAGGAAAGTCCTTGCTGAAATCTCTCCTTGATTCAGTCAAATGCAAGTTGTCGAGAAATATGCTGAAAAGTTGCTGGAAAGTTGCTAACTTTTAGCAACTCCTTTCCTTAAGTTAGGCTGAAACCTTCCTTTAAATGGCTGGAAGACCATTCATAACTTTTGCCCAAATTATCCCTCACGTGATGGCCTCTCCTTTGAATTCCATATTCCTTTGCAACGAAATTCCTATTTCATAGGAATCTCATTCCAACTAAATCTCTTCTATCCAAACTGAAATAATATATTTGAATTAACTCAAATATTAATTACCAAATTTCAGCAACAACCTTATTGGATAAGGTGGCTAAATTCCAAGATTTTCTCCTCTTGTTTCTCAATTGGCCGACTTTTCTTGAAACCATACTAAACAAGTGTCGGCCCATCACTGGTCCACGTCACCACTGAGGTGGCTGCCAAGTTTTGGTGCCAACAAATTCATTAATAATAGATTACACAATTCCATCAAAATTAATAAATAATAATATAATTTAGACAAAAAAAAAAACTGAGTTTAAAATTTTGACAAACTCATGTAATATACTGTTAAAAAATATTTGAACGAAATTTTAATTATATAATTATGTTTAAACATCTTTAAATTAATTATTGGAAATTGTGCCTGCAAGTTGGAAGCTGTGTTGACTTTTTTGATGTTACTCCAGTGGTCAACAATTTAGGCTACCTAGCTGTATGCTGGCTAATCCATTTGTCATATTGTTTGGTTCTTGGAAGGCAACCAAGTCACGGCCTTATTGGGGCTATATATATATATATATGTCCATCAGGGTCCATGGTGTTGATCTCCGAAATCATCCTATTGAGTTTGTAACATGAGTTGAGAGTGAGTTTAATATCAGTTAGAGAGCAAGAGTTTGGGTATTATTGAATTTTGGGCGTAAGTCATTTTGTTTTGTACATTTTTATTCTTATACTGAAGTATTGTTCTATCTTCTTTCCGTAAACGTAAGCATAACCAAATCAAGTAAATCTTTATCTTATTTGTGTGTGCGTTATTTTATTTTCTTGTCATTTATTTTTTTTCTTGTTCTCGTAAATTTCTATTCGATCTTTATTTCATATCAATTGCTAACATTACTTCTGAAAACTCAGAAAGGTCAAGGTCTAACTGTAGAACTTTGTGGGATTTTTCTTGTAAAATTTGTAGTTAGCAGGGATGGACCTATTACCGGGGGGCGGGGGTCTTGCCCCTCTTTACTTAAAGTTATCGGTCCGCCGCCCTGGTAATTGGCCTGTTCCATTCATCAAGTTTTTCAATCTCCCAAGTTGCTAGTTACCGTGTTGGACTAAAATTAAGGGAAAGGAGACATTTCATGGAAATTGTATTTCCCCAAAATCTATTTACATTATATGTGCTATATATATAAAATATATAAATATATGAATTGAACTCGAGTGTACAAAGCAATCAGCTCATCACAATTGACCTTCTCTTTGCTTGTGTAATTTCATTAGTGCTTCACATTTCATAAAACCCAAAATTGAGTTTCTTTCCACTTTGTCATCACATTTGATTTTGATTTTAATTTTGCGTTTGTTGTTTGGCCTGTTTTTTGGGTCTCTTCCATTTCTGAAGAATAATTAGTCAGAGAAGCAGCCATGGACGACGTTTCAATTATAGTAGCCCCAATTGTTAACACACTTGTCGAAGACACAACGAAGATGATCAAGAAGAAGATCCATTTGATCAAAGGTGTCGAGAAAGATATTGAACAGCTTCAAAGTAAGCTATCCGCAATCCTATCCGTGCTTGAAGATGCAGAGGCCAAGCAGCTGGATTCTAAACCAGTGAGAGATTGGCTTGGAAAGCTGGAAGATGCTGCTTATGATGCAAAGGACGTACTTGACACTTATGAAACTAACGCCATGCTGTGGCAGAAAAATCAGCAGGTACGAAAGGTTCGTCTTCCTTTTAGTGCAAGTAAAACTTCTTACAAGTTAAACACTGCATCCCAGATTAAAGATATATTAGCTAGAATTAATGAAATTGAAAAAGAAAAAGATGGTCTCCATCTGGATGTCAGTGTGGGAGTCGTGGGACCCAACAATGGAACTTCTGAGAATAGAAGAATCACTACATCTCTTGTGTATGAACCGGATATAGTTGGTAGGGAGGATGACAAAGATAAGATAATTAATCTGTTGATGTCAGAGGAATATAATAGAGAGGGAGGCGTTGCTGTGATTCCCATCATTGGGATGGGAGGTTTGGGCAAGACAACTCTTGCTCAAATCGTTTACAACGATGATAGAGTTAAAAGCCACTTCGAATTTAGGATGTGGGTATGTGTCACCATGAATTATGACTACAAAAGGATTCTAAAAGAGATGATCGAATCTCATTCTAAGATGAAGTATGATACCAACTCGATATCCCTTAACCAGTAAGAATCCCGTTTTCTGGAATTCTTGGCCGGAAAACGCTTTCTACTTGTTCTAGATGATGTTTGGATTGAGAAATACGAGGAATGGGCGGATCTTAGGAAAGTATTAATATTGGGGGGAATGGGATCTAGAGTTTTGGTCACTAGCCGAAGCACCAGGGTCCAATTTGCCATGGGGACGAAGAATCTGCATCAATTGGAGTGTCTGCCTGAAGAACAATGTTGTTCATTGTTCCAAAAAATCGTGTTTGAAGAATGTAATGTGGCAGGAAACGTGCGTGCATCTCTGGAAAAGACTGGTAGAGAAATTGTAGGAAAGTGCAAAGGCCTGCCTTTGGCAGTAAAGGCAATGGCAGGTCTCTTGCGTGGTAATGAAGATGTGAACATATGGAAGAGAATCCTAAAGAATGAAATATGGGAGGCAGAGAAAGGAACTGCCCAAACAGAGAAGCCATTGGTTTTGCCTGCTCTAAAATTGAGTTATGACCATTTGCCTTCTCATCTGAAACAGTGTTTTGCATACTGTTACATATTTCCCAAGGCGTATGTGTTCGATAAGATAGAGCTGGTCAAAGTGTGGAAGGCACAATCTTTTGTTCAATCTAGTGGACAAGATACAATTGATGAAGTTGGAGGTGATTATTTTGATGAGTTGTTAATGAGGTCCTTCTTTCAAGTTTTCAAAATTGATGATAAGAAGAGATATAGGATGCACGATCTTATACATGAGTTGGCACAATCTGTTTCAAGCCCCTATTGCTGCCAAGTCAAAGCTAACGAGCCATGCCATGTCTCTGACAGATCTCGTCATGTAGCATTGCTTCGCAACAATGCCGAGCAGGCTGCGTTGGAAGTTATTGGTAAATCTAAGAAGTTACGAACATTTCTATTCCCTGGTGAGCACTTGAAATCCTTTGGGCAGGCCCTTGACAAAATCTTTCACAGTATGAAATACATGCGCTTGTTAGATTTGAGTTCAAGCACAATGCTAGAATTGCCAGAATCTGTTAAAGAGATGAAGTTGTTGCGCTACCTCTACCTCTCTCAAACTGAGATCAGGAAACTTCCCAAATCTATTTGCAGCCTCTACCATTTGCAAACTCTGAAACTCCTAGGGTGCCTTTGGCTTTTCGAATTGCCCAAAGACCTTGGGAACTTGACTAACTTGCAGCATCTCGAGCTAGATGAAATGTTCTGGTACAAGTCATCCACATTGCCACCAAGAATGGGAAGCTTAACCAATCTACAAAATCTGCATGTATTTCATATTGGCCCAGAGAGCGGATATGGAATTGATGAACTAAAAGGCATGATTTATCTCAAGGGAACACTGCGTATCTCAAAGCTCGAACATGCAGTAAATGCAGAGGCGGCAAAGTTGAAGGAAAAAGAAGGGCTCGAGAAGGTGGTGTTTGAATGGAGTGATACAGATGGTCGTCCACGAGATGAAGCAGCCGACGAAGGAGTGCTTGAAGACCTTCAACCACACTCAAATCTCAAAGAGCTCCAAATTTTCCACTACAAAGGTACCAGATTTCCATCTTGGATAAGAGATGGGCTGCTCCAAAATATTGGTACCATTTCCATAAGTCATTGTACAAGGTGCAAAATCCTCTCTCTTGGGGAGATGCCACGCCTTGGGAATCTCTACATTAAAGGAATGCAGAACTTGGAGGAATGGCCCGAGGTGCAATATCCTTCTCTTCACAAACTCAAAATCAGCAGCTGCCCAAAGCTAAAGGAGTTACCTTAGTTTTTCCCTAACCTAAGAGTTCTGAAGATCAAAAAGTGCGACTCCTTGAGGAAACTGCCATTGAGCCCCTCATTAATGTTCTTAATACTTGTCGACAATCTTGTTCTGGAGGATTGGAATGAAAGATATGGACATCTGCGGTCTGTTAATGATCAAGGCGTACTTGTAGTCCAACTGCGACCTTCCTTAAGCAGTCTCTTGGAACTAAAGATCATTAACTGCCCAAAGTTGCAGGCACTTCCAGTACACTTTGGTCCGCAGAAACTGGAGATAAGCGGGTGTCAACTATTGAGCACCCTCCTGATCCCTGATTACTCCCGTCGTCTTCAACGTCTAGCACTAGATACTTGTCATGATGGAACATTAGTGAGGGTGATTCCTGAGACCATCTCTCTGTATTCCTTGGTGATTTCCAATATCTCAAGCCTAACCTCTCTTCCTAAATGGCCAACTCTTTCTGGACTCAATGCATTGTACATCCATAATTGTGAAGCTCTTGTGTCTCTGTCTGAAGAAGAAGCATCATTCCAAGGCCTAACGTCTCTCAAACTGTTGTCCATCTGGGGCTGCCCCAAGCTCGTGACATTGCCGAACAAAGGACTTCCCGCTTCTCTGGAGCGTCTGAGTATTGGTTCATGCCCTAGTCTCAAGTCCCTTGGCCCTGGCGAAATGTTGAAGAGCCTCACCTCCCTCAGGGATCTTTACATTGAGGACTGCCCTGCAGTAGAGACATTGCCTGAAAAGGGGTTTTCCAGCTCCCTCAAGCATTTGCACGTTGAAGGATGTCCAATACTCACGAGGCGATGCCAAAAGGACATAGGCCCAGATTGGTCAAAGATCAAGGACATCCCTGATCTGGACTTAGAGCCCATTGAAGTATCTTCAGTTCCAAATTTGCTAAAGGAGCAACTGAAACCAACGTGGTATCATCATTTTACTCTTTGTAAAGGTTAGTACTTTTTTGCTAGTAAATTGTATTGATCAGCAGCATTAACTTTGTTAATTAACTAAACAACATTTCCATCTTTGAGATTTATCATAATTTTATCTATAGGAATTGACATTAAAGAAATTGGGCAACCACTACAACGCAACCCAGTCACCTTAGTGCAAAGGGAGAGAGGTGAATTACAAGACTTAAAAAACTCCATGTATTTGTGACAGGGAGATGCATTTATATAGAAAGTGAAGCTTTAAAATGTTTGCAGGACAAACTTCTAAAGGGACAATGGGGCCAGGGGAACCTGCTTCTACCTCAAGAGAAAATGGTGAGTGCTACCTCTCAGTAGTCGTTGATTATTTATTTTCTGTCATTTTAACAATATGTTTTCACAACCGCAAAAAGAGTAGAACCTAACTATAAACACCCAAAATGAAAGAAAAAGATTCTAATACTTTATAACTATTTGATTTGTATACTCTTTTTTGACACATTTTAAAAGGATCAGACATTGTTGAATCTGCTGAAAGATTTCATTGAAATCACATGATTAAGCTCATCTTATCAAGATGCTTTATGGTATACTTTAAAGGTTGGACCATCAAATGATGACTCCATATCATTCTTCAGAAACATTGTGGTTACAAATTTGGATTTAAAACAGATAACAAATGCTGAGTTGCCCTACCAAATTGTGGTTCTCCACTCCATTTCATGAGGATAGGACATTCAATATAATAACATATTTATTGCTGAATTAATGATGATTGCCTTATTAATGCTGTTATAATTGTTCATTGGCATTCTCATGTCATGGTAATTCTCATTAAAAAGCATAGAGAACTTTCTGGTTTTAACCTTTAGATGACAGAGAAACTAGTAACCAATATTAGTATGAAATTTGCAATGTATTAATTTTGAGGAACAAACTATGGTCTTTATACAAAATTATTCAACTTTCAGATTTTAAATCATACATTGATTGGTTATATCTGATTTGTAGGGGATTGAAGATTGATCATGGTTCAAGACTTCAAGGGACAATGTTCATCCACCATTTTGCTCAGTAGTGAATTGTTGAATCATATTGTTCATGATTATGTTAAGTTAGTTGTGTTCGTACTTTTAGTGAGGTCTGTTGAAACCATTAAAATAATTGGATTGCTGTCATATTTGGTTTTACAATTTCCGTAGTTATCAACCTAATAGTTGTAATGTCAAATAAAGACTCTTGGTTCCTTTCACTGTTGTATTTTCAGGAAACCTAAAAATAATATATGTGAGGTGTGAAATTTGCAGTTTTTGTATCTATTACCATTGAGATATATAACTTTGAAGTCTCCTTACATTAAAGTTTGAGTTCATATGATACTTGGCATGCTTTAAATTGTTGTAAATGATCACATATTCAGAACCATTTGTTGATTCAGACCAGGGTCTTTTACCTTGATTCAGCTGCTTCTTTTGTTTTGTTAACTAAACCAACTATCTAATGAGTAAGCATTGAATGATTTGGGAAAGCTTCATGCCAATACTAAGATAGTGAAAGACCAATCTTGAAGGTAAAATCCATGGAATTTAGAAAATTAATACATTATGCGTATCATAGTCTCGATACTAAAATTATGGCTCCTTTGGACTGAAAATTCAATTGAGAAAGAAAAATAAAATTAAGCCAATCAGTCATTTGGGGGAATAATATATGCCCGAGGGCAGTGAGATAAGGCACAAATCTGTCCTTTCAGGATGGATTCGTTGTAAACACTACGGTAAATAGATTAGGCACACATCTATTTTCCCGATTATTCGGTGCTAGCTATTTTCTCCGCGTAAAAGTGATTCTCCATTCATTTTTTTCATATCCAATATGGTTGAAAAGAACCCTGTAAGAGGTGTTATACTGTATATGTGAATGATGGTTGACTAGTTATTGTCTTGGGATTGCACAAAATATGATATTTGTCTGGATTCAGAATCAGGATTACAATTTCCTGAGTTGGGGAGGTATGGAGTTTAGATGATAAATCAGAAAAGAAGTCATCAGCTTTTGTGTTTGTGTGGAACTGGTGATATTAATTATATAAGAATTTGATCATTTCAAACTAGAATAATCATGTTGCATGCTTTCTTTTCTAAGATTAAGTACCATCAGAAACTGGCCATTGAATTTTTTTTCTTCAGAATCAACCTCCCCATTCTGTGGAAGGGCTGGAGATCTGCATATCCTGGTAACACACAAATGGCTATATATGGATGCATTTGTATGTGTGCGCGTAGGAATGTATAAATCTGGTAAGTCCGAGAACTTTTAAGTACCTTTTTGATAATTTTTTCTGAATAAATCTTTTCTTTTTGGCATGCAGCAAGTAAAATTCACATGCATCTCTTCCAACAAAAAGTCTATTCTTGCATGCATCGCAATGTATGGATGTATGGTTTATACATACTTACTCTTCTCCTATGAGCTAATATGGTTTTCTAAATTGGTTCTCTTCCATTATAGAGCTAATTATACTAGGTGACTAACCAAGTAGAGTTGATTTGACTTTTACATAACCATTTCTATATTGGAAGAGAAACTTAGTAGGGAAAAGTAGCATTAAACGTGATGAGAAGATTTATTTGAAGCTATCAGAAACATGCATGATGTATCCATGTCATTAAATTTTTTTTTTGATAAGTAAAATCAAATAAAAGCGTTCAGAAGGGGAGTGGAACCCAAAAAGAATACAAAAACCCACAAAGGGCCACTAAGCCTGCAAAGAGGCTAGAAAATCAGCAATCTCCTCAAAAGATCTATGATCTTTTCCTGAAACACAACCAAAAAAAGTAGAAAGAATAGAAAACTTAAGCAAAGAAATCGACATCTCCTTTCCCTCAAAATATCTCCTATTCCTCTCAAGTCAAAGACATCACCACACACAGAGAGGAGAAAACTAAGTGCATGTTAAAAATGTGGACAACCTAGTCCCTTTAGATATTTTTTCTAACATCTCCGTTAATGTATTATCTAATTTTCTTAATTTATCTGCTCTCCAACATGATCTCCTTGTGAAAACAGAAGTTACCAAGATGATATATATAAGCAACTTTGAACATTGACAGTTTTCGGTGGTGGTTTTATTTAATATTCCATTTTCACATTTTTTCTGTCTTGTTTACCTATTCTACGGCTGATGCATCGATACACTGTTTTGTGTACATAACAGCCAGTGGAAAATAATTACATTAATGGCTCACCCAAAAGCTTTGATTTGATCAATTTGCCTTCAGCTAGGAATTTAGTTATGTCAAATTTTTTTTTATATCTCAATTCTTTGTTCTTGCCTACCTAAGGTTGTGTTGAAAATTTGTGGACCGTATTTGCCCTGTCTCATCATTAAGTTGTCAAACTTCTGGAAAGCTCAGAAAGGTAATGTAATATGACATGTTGAACCTGTTAGGGATAATTAACTCCCTCCAACCCACTCAACGATCGGTTATTGTTGAGAGTTAAATTCCTCCTTCATCACACACAGCGGAAGCATCATCACATCACATCACATCATATCAATACAAGCATATATGGAGATAACAATCATACACATCAACGCACAACACAATATTTTACATAGTCCACCCAACTCTAAGGTTACGTCCATGGGAAAGAGAGATTTTACTATTATGAATCAAGGAAGAGAATATACAACCACATGTCCCACTCACTCAATCATCATCTCTTTTGAGGCTATATGTATACACTCGGGAATTACATATACTCTCTCTCTCCTCACAACACTCACCCTTAAACCCCTTACATCTTTTCGTCTTCTTTCTCTCTCTCTCTAAACCCCTCATATCCATCTCTATTCATAGAATCTTCAAAACTCAATTCATTGTTGGACAAGTATTCCTCAAATTCAATTTCTTGTTGGATAAGGATGAACTTACCTACAAGAAGTTACCATATCCATCTTCAATTCTAAAATAGTAGGTATAACTTTTTTTTCTAAATCTTTAGCCTTTTTCCCCAAGTCTTCTAGATTCCAAAACCAATTAGGAAACTATTTCGCGCAACTTCCAAAACAAAAAAGGAAACTAATTTTTTGCACACAAATTTTGAGCCACAAACCCAACAGAACCCCACTTTCCAAGATAATTAATAACAGTTGCATTAAGATTCAACTGATAAAATATATGGGAATATTTCAAGCTAGACATTTTCAAATTACCCCTTTGTCTTGACTTATTCTGTGCTTCATTGATTGACTAGTATATCTTACAGCTAGTGAACCATTTTTTTTTTTTTTTTTTTTTTTTCCTTTCACGGAAGGTAAATTATATTGAATGAAAGAAAAGGCCAAAGCCCAATCAACATCTACCAATACATTCATTCACCTCAGTTCTTTATTATAGTCTTTGCATTTGGAAGGTGTTATAATTGCCCAACTTGCCAATTACCGTGTTGGACTTGGCTCAAGGGGAAGGAGATATTTCCCAGAAATAGTATTTCCAAATAGTGTTAGATGTTGAAGACGACAGGAGTGATCATCATCAAGTGAGGAACTAGTAATGGGCAAAATTGGGCTATAGCCCAGGTCCAATTGAAAAAAAAAAATTTAGTAATATTGTTCCTACAAGCCTATGTACTAGTATTCCTATTCTTATTAGCCCAGCCCAATTCATAGTATTTTTATAAATAAAAAAAGTTATAAAATTTATGAAGGTCAAGCCTTAAATATGAGCAAGCCCACGAACCATGGACATGTCCGATCACAAAATAAACCATAATAAAATATAATAGGTCCAGCCCATTAAATCAAACACATTGTTAGTCTATGGAAGAAAACTTAAACTTTTCGTGTGTAAGGTACTAAGTTATAGGTGGATGGATATCATGAATTATTATTGATAATTCAGTGAAATATTGAATTTTGTTTTTGCAAAAAGGGGGGGGGGGTATTGTATAATGGATTAATAACTAGTCAGGGGCGGAGTACATAGGTTTTACTTTCTAATGCGAATTTATTGATAAGGAACATATATATATATATATATATATATATATATATCTTACATTCTTGTAAATATTTGTTTTAATATTTGTATGAAGCAAACTTCAATGGATTCTTAATTGTGAAAATACGTTAGAGTTTGAAAGTGTAAATGTGTTAGAAGGTTGGAGATTATTGGGTTTAATTGAATAACTGATGCATGATAATTATGTATTTAAAGTATGAATGACACACTAAGCAATCATGAATTTAGTTATTTTTAATCAACCTACCTTGCAATCCTGGCTCCGCCCCTGGCGATCATGGATCAGGAGGGTGCTCAATAGTTGACACCCATTTATTTCCAGTTTCTGCGGACCAAAGTGGACTGGAAGTGCCTGCAACTTTGGGCACTTAATGATCTTTAGCTCCAATAGACTGATTAAGGAAGGTTGGCGTCGCGCTACATGTTGGCCTTCATCATTAACGGAGTCCTGATGCAGCATTTCTTTTTTCCAGTTCTCCAAAACAAGATTGTTGACAAAGATTAAGAAAGATGTTTGGGAGTGAAAATTGGCCAAACTTAGGGGTGTCCCTGAAATTAATTTTTTTTTTTTTTTTTGGTTTTTTTAATCTGGTTTGGTGTCCACTGTCTAGTGTGTTGTGGTAAGATAAAAGATTAAAACAAAGTGGAAAGAAACCCAAAGTTGCTTTGTACACACACTGTTCAATTCATATACATACAAATAACACAGTAAAATTTAATTCATGGAATTAACACAGTAAAATTAGGAACAAAATCCTCACCGGTTCTAGTTTTATCCAGTTAGTGATTTATTCTACAAAAATGTTGTACGATAAATCATTACCTGAATAGAACCGGATCACTGTTTCACTGGAAAAGATTTGGGTCAATAAAATTATGGGTCATTTGGATTCAAAATTTAGTTGAGAAAGAAAAATTAATGCAGTGCAATTTATTTTCATCGATTCAACTAAATGCGATCAAAGAAGTTAAGAACCCATGGGATGTTCACAATACAATTCATTTTCTTCCTATCAATACAATTCACTACGAAAGGGTCCATTAAAAAAAAAAAAAAAGGTTTACAAAGAACCAATATGTGATAGTGTTATGGTCCATGTGAATTTATTGAGATAAAGGAAATGGAAAAATCATATGTTTCATATTTGTCTTGTTACTTAGAGCTTGTTTGGTTTCGGATTCAACGAAGTGAACGAAAAGGAAAAGGAAAAGGAAAAGGAAAAGGGTCTCTCACATATCATCATCTCTCATGCTTAAATGAGATAAGAAATTTAAAACTTTCAAAAATAATAATAAAATGAATCATAAATAAGGAAAAAGAAGACAGAAATAATAATAATAATAAAATCCATTGGCTCGAATAAATAATAATAAAATCCATTGGCTCGAATGAGCCCACTGCTATCCACGTGAAAATGAAATTTATTGATTAGTCTTAGGTGACTCATGACAGCCTAAATGGTCCAAGGCTGCAGAGGTGTTTGTATATATTCTATGATTTGGAATTGAAATTCAATAAAATTATTTTTATTTAACTATAATATAAAAAATTGCGTATAAATATATTTTGAGGATTTTAAGAAATTCATTATAGTAATTGTCCATTTTTTACATTACTTTGGTACAAAGCCCTCTTTTTCTTATATTATATCCATATCACATTTACGAAGCACAAATATAAATGGGAAACAAATACAGATACAAATGAATATATAAAAATAATCATCATAAATAAAATGACTAATTTAAAGCTTAGAGTAAGATGTTTTTTATTTCTGTTTTTTTAATTTTTACATTAAAATTTTTAATTAACCATAATATATTTTAAATTGCATGTCATCCTTCTAAAAAAACAAAAATAAAAATAAAAATAAAAATAATTATAATTACTAAATTGTCCAGAACAGTGTATGTGAAATATGACCGGCAAATAATGGATTACCGTGGTTAACGGTGTTATCTCACCACCAACTACTCACTAACATTTTGTTTCCCGCCCTCTCCAATTAGATCAGGCCCGCATTCCAGACCCGACTCGATTCATACCCTTAGGAGGACAAAGAGGATTTCTCAAACCCTTCTCGTTCTCGTAGTCATTGTTCTCTTCTCCCCCAAACTGATCAAATCTTTGGTTGCTCACTTGAATTTCTTCATGAAGTAACCAGTGATTCGTGGAAGACAATGGCTATGAAATCAGTGTGAAAGGTATTAGTAAAGTCGTATGAAAAACACACTCTCTTGTTGGATTCAGAGATTATTTATTTATTTATTTATTATTTTTGTAGGGCAAACCTTAGTGTGGAGCCTGATAAATACTGTATGGCCCGAAATTTTTTGGAGGTATTTTGATAATTTTTGCATTTGTTATATTGCCTTAGTGTGAGGGTTTCTGAATTCTCTGTACCTTGTGCAGTGAAATCTCCGCAACCCTTGGACGTAGCTCTAAATTTAGTTCAACCAAGTAAAAATCTGTTTGTTTTTGTTGTTGTGTGTGTATGATATATTTTTTATGTTTTCCTGTTTAATTTTGCAACAGCTCTATTGTGATACGGAGGTCACATATTCGACAGGAGCCTCGTGCACGAGTTTGTCCTTTTAATGCTTGTTCTATGAATACTACTATAGAGGTCTTGTGCTAGTTTGAGAATTTAAATAATGAGAGAATTCTTCTCACTTGGGGGTGAAAAAAAAGAATTCTTAAAATGCTGAATTCTCTCTTGATTTTTCTCACTTCGGGGAAAAAAAGAATTCTTAAAATGGTTGAATTCTCTCTTGTTGTTCTAAGTTATCATTATGGCATTTTTGATGACTCAATGAAGTGAGAATCATAAGAACAGTTTTGAGTTATCCCTTGTTGTACTAAGATCACCTATATGCTAATGTTCTCAAGTATAAACTACTAACATCACTGTAGGAAAAAAAAAAAAAAACACAGAAAAAGATTTTGAAGTGGCATTCATAGTAATCAAAGAAATTCATGAACAAAAACTTTCTTCTCTCTTCTATGAAAATATAATAATTTTGTTCTCTCTACAACAATCACTCCAACAGCCCAATCCCAAAAGCACTATTTTTTGAATGAAAAAATTGGTATGACCATGAACTGAATTCTTCATGTGTGTGAACTGAAAAGTCAAAAAAGAATAAAACTTTACATTTTGAACACTCACTCTCTCACCCAAAACGCAAAATGGGTAATCAATCAATTAATAATGATAAGATTTTTTTTCTTTTCTTCTCTATGTGAATTTTTTTTTTAAAAAGAAGGAAAACTCAAATTCTCAATTTGTTTGCTGCAATAGGAAATGGAAATCGGATCTCTGGCGGAGAAGGGGTGGCGGATCCACATCAGATAGGTTGATATCCAAGAAGGATCTTGAAATCTCTTCCATGGTGAAAGGTATGCTGTAAGATTTACAAATTTGTTAATAGCAGTTGCATTTATCATCAAGATATAAATTTTGAAGATTTATGAATTTTTATATAAATTATTCTTATTTTTAAGTTGATTACCTTGAATCCACGTCGAGCAAGAAAGTGTTATTTGGCATGCTAATCGAATCTTCTGCCATTAGTGCCCTCATTTTGCCAATTACCTGAGGTCCCAAATAATACCAATGAGGTCTCAGTTATCCAATCAAGATGATTTATTTAACTGAGTTTAATGGGTGGTGCATTTTCATATATATATATATATATATATTGGTCTGCTTTCCTTAAATAAGAAAATGCATTTCAGTATTCATCAATTAACTTAAGCCTAAAGTTAGCCACAACATAAATATTCTTACATGGTTGCATACAAGATTGTTACAGAGAGAGGGTGCAAACACCTCAAAGTATATTATTTAAGAGAATTATTAAGACCAGAAAATTTGCGCATCCGCACTAACAAGAGGGCTAATTCCAAATGAAGAACAAAACTGAGTTTTTTAAACCATGTTAGATTTAACTGTGTTTGGTACCTTTTTAATTCAATTTAAGGGAAGACATTGAAAAAAAGATATGCTTCTTTTTATTTTAGGAAGTACCTATCAATGAAGGTTCATAAACATGGTAACGGAGCATTAGTATAATAATAAGTGAAAATATGGAGAGTACTTACTTCTGGAGATAATCCTTGGGTTCCATATTTGTCATCCCAAAACATGGTTCCAATGCGGTATATTTGTGGAATGCTTAACATCTAAAAGGGGAAAACAAAATTTTAGGGTCCAGTATTGTGAAATTTTTTGAGAGCTAGCAAAATAATTCTTTAAGTGGACTTTGACAGTAAATCAATATTTTGTTACCGGGCAGAGTTCACTAGTGATCTCATCCAATGATTTATGAGTCTTTTGATGTAAAACCTGCATGGTTGAAGCATATTTTGATCAGTTCTAATCTTTAACTAAGTTTATTGGCATTGTGATATGGGTTTAGAACATCATACCAGAAATCCTACGGCTTGCCTTATATGTTGGAGTTCATCCCACGATGATCCGGCAAACTGTACAACAACATAATGAAATAAAATTTCCTCATTTCCCTTATCTTGAACCTGGGCCACATTGATATCTAAATGATATCATGTGGATTTTCCTTTACCTGATCTGTTGCTTTACTACACCACTGTTCCAGTTCTTGCAAACCAGCCTTTACATATTCTCCATTGCTAAATGAGCAGCATTCACGACGAAGCAACAAACTGTAAAGCATGGGAAGATATTTCATTTTTGACACTTTCCAAAAATTAAAATATGTTTTATATTGAAATGCAGTTCTATGTAGTGGGTTGAGCCTAGGAGGAGCTGCTTACCTATTAAAAAGCTGGACATTTATGAATGAGAATACCTGACTGAAGATTTTTCTTATGATCATTGGAGGGACCTGTTAATAAAGCAACAATGTTTAATTAAATTGTTGACCCCATTCATATGGGATTAAGGCAAGGATGGTGATGTTTAGTTTCTTTGTTGAAACATAAAATTTGGAAAAGCAGATCGGGGAGTAGATTTCTGCTTACATAGTTTTCAGACAGTATGCCCAAGATATGGTCCAAGTTACTGACAATACTTTGCCAGTGTATGCTTGATGCCTGTTGTTTTGCAACCATATTCGAATGGATATTTTTAGATGACCCTCTTATTGATCTGGCCCTTGCAGATCTTGGTGCCTATTAATCAAATTCAGGCATACAGTTAGAGATTGGTGCAATATCTTGAACTACAGAAGTCTTAATTGTATAAGATGCTTACCTGTATGCACAAGCTCAAGAATGGACTAATCTCTTTCTTTAAGCTATCACGGATCATCCCATATATTTTCTCAACACAAGCAGTCAGATGTTGCTTAAACAGTAGAGCTGGGTACTTAGCTTCTATTTTTGATTGTGTATTTGGCTTTCCCTCCATTCCACTGTACCCACTGGAAATTCCCATGCTATTTGAAGATGAACGAAAACCCTGATATTGTACTTTTATCATTAGAGAAGAAGAAATATTGGTGTTGTGTTTTGATCATTATAAATTTTCACATTGATTTTTGAGATAACAAGTTTTTTTGTGTGTGAAAGAGCTTACCTGAGCCATTCTACCAAACAAGCTGGTGGGTGAAGTTCTGTTACGATGCGAAGCCGCGTTGGGTGCATTACTTGCCTTGATCGTATTTTGTAGAAGAAACAAAAGGGTTGAAGTTGTTGATAGCCAATACGCTAGATCTTTGATGTTTTCCTGGTTCTTAAATAGTGAAAAGCAGCAGATAAATTCACATGTCAAACACAGTATGCTGCTTACATGAATATTTAGATCTGTAAGTAGCATAAGACATTTATGGTATTTTTGAAATGGTTGAAAGATGTTACCTCTATGGATGATCGTATGGTGTGAATAATCCTATCAAATATATTTGTCTTGTCTGCTTCAAAGGATCTCCACTGAAGAAGTGATTTATACACAATACAGGCAGCAACAGGTCTATTCTGGTCGAACCGTTTATCTTCCATGAGACACTTGATTAGTACATCCTGATTTTCCTGTTAAAGATAAGAACAATAGCATGTATTTAACAACGTTTAGGCAATTTAAACACAGGCAATATCCATTAGCATTCCTCAATTTTTTTTCTATCAGTAAATGTTTCCAATTCAACTATACCTGCTGCCTGTCTGTTAGGGATCTTTGTTTAGTTAGGAACGATACAAGAGTCCCTGACTCCTGCAAACAAAATTCATACATTCATAATGAAGGCTTAGTTGTTTATGCTAGTATGTTCTTTAAGAAAATTTCTCTAAGAAAGTTAACCATACTTTGGTCGCTTGATCCTCTACTTTTGTTGTTTGGTGATTTTCTTCTGGTTGATGTCCATTATCAAAATGCTGCATTTTTTATAGAAGGGTCAGAATTGAATGGCAATGACAAAATGCTATTGGAATACTATTCAAACCGTTTTTACCTTTACCTGTGGCAGTACCCGTTCAGGACTAGCTATTTGCTCCATGACTGCTTTTTGGTTGCGGAGAATCTCATTTTCTGACTCCAAATCTCTCATCTTGTTCTTGAGGCTGATAGTGAAGGAATATTAATCAGATTTCTGTAGTGATTAGTATATTTTTAAAACAAAGACTTAAGTGGCAACCATTCATCTTAGTGTTTCAAAAAGTTTATAATGAATTGAAACCATGCCTGACCAACTCAATTAGTAAATTTGATTTGTGGCTGTATGTCACTGATGGAATCAGTGTTCAGTCAAATATTTGCTTTGAAAGGTTTGGCATGAAGTCTAAACACTGTCAACTGGTCAAGGGTAAATGCTACTGTGCAGTATTTTGAATTTTCGTTCTTCATAAATGTCATTTAACACTTGAGCAACATGAATGGAAGCAAGTTACAATTATCCTTATTATATCTGTGCCCTTAATGATAATAGACATCTTTTTGCATGATTTTCCTGCAAAGTAGAAGGAACGTTGTCTTTTTGTTTTTTACTTTTACTTTTTTTGTTCTATTTACTAAGTTCATATCTAAGTAAACTCACTCTGTTGATTTTCTCGTGAGGCAAGCATTTAGTCTTTTCTCTAGTTTTTATAAAGATTTTCAAGCACCAGATAAGAAAACAACTTCAATTTTCTGAACCAAGAAAAGGTTGTTCGTCTTGCATATTCTTACACTTCCATTTCTTCTGAGAGGTCCTCATTTGTTGATGCAACCAAAGCCTGCTGGCGTAGAACCTGGTTTTCAGATTCGAGGTTGGACAAGTTCAGTTCTAATCTGAAAGTAAACATAAAAAGGAACTAGTTAGAATGAAGCTTATGATCATGCATAGATTTGTTTAATAGCGGTAATTTGGCTACCTTTCAATTGTTTCTTGAAGTTGCAATGCTCTCTGCTGTGACTCTTCTACCTCTTTAAGTCTTGCTGTGCTCTCATTTTGAACTTCAGTGTACTTCTGCTCAAATTCTTCTACCCTCTTCTTCAGCTCACTTATCTCACCCTACAGGTCCAGAATATATATTAGGCAAACAACTTTCATATATGCTAATTTCGGCCTTTGCCACTATGTAGCTGCACAGAGGGCATATGCAGCAGTATATGGTGATCCTGAACGGGGAATTTTTTATTTATTTTTGGTTAGGCAAGTACTCACACACACATTCACATTTGCCCACTATGGCAAAATGGGGTATTTTGCAGTGGCATATTGGCTTACAGCTAGGAATGTAAGTGTCTCAACTTCTTTGGCTTTTCTTTACTCACTGAGAGATTTAGCACCATGATTTTGTATAATTTACCAAGACACTCTTCCTTTTGGGTCAGTGTATGAATTCTTGCATACTTTAAGAATTATGCCAATAATTTCATTAATTTATTAAATAAATTTTCTGAATTCTTGTTTCTTATTTTTGGTCCATGAAACAGGCCACTGTGAAGCTCATACATGCTCTATATCCAACATTACATTTTTGTTTTTTAAGATTGGACTCTACTGAATGCAGGAAAATGATGTTGCTTGTTATAAAATGAATCAGGGTCAGAGTTGCTAGATGTTACCTCCAGTTCCTCGTTGTGATTTGTCAATAACTCCAGCTTGGTGTTATCCACGACTGGTACCTCTTTGATGACTGGTGGAGCTTGTTCAATAGCTATTTTTGCTGCTTCTTTTTCGTGAATGATTGCAGCATGGGCGTCATCGAGTTGTGCTTGCATTTCATGTAAAGCATTTTGTAGTTTTGCAATTTCTTGTCCTTTTGCTTCTTCAAGATCAATCTACAAGAAGACCATTGTTTTTCCACGGTAAGCTAAAGTGAACTACAGTCTTTTAATTATGAGCTCAGCATCAATTTTATTTGTTTATTTACTTACTAATTTGTATACATGCTATTTGAACTGGTTACAAAAATGATATTGATTTTTATGTGATTTTTTGGATATTATTGATTCTGTTATATGTAGTGTTTTTGAACTCTTAGCCTGTTCTCCTTCATAAATAAGTTGATAGAGAATATACCCTTAAATGCTTTTCGAAATCTAGTCGCCATGCTAGTTCTTCAACACGCTTCTCCAACTTGTCCTTTGCTTCTTTAAGTGCTCCGGTTTCTCGTGCAGCCTGCATTAGGGGACTTTTCAGTTATAACCATTCTATCTGCTTTTAATCTAATTTTCCTTTCAGAGAAGTTAGATGTATGAGAATCACAGCCCACATTATGGTTCTACAAAGAATATAACACTCACCATCCTCAGCTTTTTAAGCTCCTTCCTTGCTACCTTTGCTCTCCAGAGACATTGAAGTGTAAGAGTTGATTTCTTCTGCTGATTATAAGCAGTAAGAGCATGGAATCTTCGCCATTGAGTCTGCATGAAACAAGGATTCATAGAGTAAATAATCCTCAAAGGGATGATGATATTTTTTGATACTTCCATTTTGCATTTTAAATCTTCTTAACCAAGTAGTAATGTTCACCCCTACTTTGTTAAATGCTTGTAATTAGTAGTATTTCTTACTCTCAAATTCATATGTGTAAGTGTTTTCAAGTGCATATGCAACATCATTATTTCGAGGGTGCAACACCCTTACTTTGAAGTTGCAGCACTCATGCAACATATTTACTTTGAGGGTGCAATAATCATGCAACACATTTACTTCGAGATGCAACACTGCAACACCTTTACTTCAAGAATGCAACACCTTTACCTTGAAGTTGCATTCTCAAAGTAATGGTGTTTCATTCTTGACATAAAGGTGTTGCATATGCACAGCAAAAATATAATACAAACCAGAGAGGATTAAGGTCCAATTCATTTATGGAACCCCTAAATTCTGACTTTCCTTTGTTTTAACAAATCATTAATTTTCTTTATGTTTGATTTAAGTTTCATTGAAATAAATTTATAATCTCCATCCATAGACAATTAATTACCTGAACTATTGTTGCGGCCTTGTTTCTTCTTCTGCGTCTATATTCATTCCGGGCTGCCATTACTCGCAGCCCAGTTTGAATATCTATTGCAGATGCCTGTAAGTTTGTGTAAGATTTTCTTGCCGCATGAGCACGTGCATGTTTCTGTATACGGATTGAAGCAGCTTCTTTTCTCATATGTTCATACAGTTTACGTGCAAGTTGTGCTGTGTAAGGCAGAAAAGAAAAAAAAAAAATTGTCATTTTCAGTTCTTCCCAAAGAATTACTTTTAGAGCTGGCAATGGATTAGATTCTGGTGAAATCTGGTCCAAATATTCCCCTTATCCTGATCTCTTCTGGATTGAGTTGGAAAACTTTTTTCTTGAACCTGACTCACTAACTTGGGCTCACACTGAACACATTGTACTTAGACAAACACAAAGCATAAAGAAAATTCAATATAATAATTGTCAGATGTTCATCAGTTTGTTTCCAGTTTATAGGGTTGGTCTTCTGATTTTAAAGAGGGCAATGGTTAGTTATCATTAGAAAAAGTGGCTAACCTCTCCAGAGTTTCTGCATGTGAATTGTAGCAAATCGAAGAGTGATGAACTCTCTTCGGGTAAGATGAGTTCGGATTTGTCTTTGGACACGCCTTGCAGCATTAGCCAGAATTTCAGTTCTCCGAGCATCTAATTCAGCCATCTGTCCAGCTCTAAGGAACACTTTTGTTTTACCAATCTGAAATAGAGTAACAAGGTAGATAGTTCTTTCAATATTTTGTTGAAATTTCCTCAGGAGCACCCTCAACTAGGAGCAATTACATTTATACTAATATTGTAAATTCAAATTAGCACCTGATAGCCCTTCAAGCCCATCCTATCACAGATGGTAACACATGCTGATTTCTCATCAGACCTGTATGGAAGAAAGCAGCTAAGCACCAAAATTATAACCACAAGAATGTGGCATTGTTGCCACTGAGAACCATAAAAGGTAAAGATGTATCTATGATGATGATCGATATGTTCCATCTTAAAAGCAACTCTGATGTAATAGCCATTTAAGGTATGATGCTCATAATTGAGCCTTGACTTTTGAGGTCTGACATTCAATCCCACATGACAAAGGCAAAAATGTTAAACTACAGAAAAAAAGTATAGAATGCTAATTTATACCCATCCAGAACATCTGGAGCTAACATTCCAAAACGATCAAGGAACTCATCAAATGTCCTTTTTGTTGGATATCCAGCACAGCTTATCCTAATTGCCTCTAATACACCCTGCCAAAATTACCGCCAGAATGAACTATGTCATTAGAAGCAAATTCTGAAGTAGGCAGAATGGTGCAGAGGTTGAAGTAAAATCTAACTTACCCCACATCTTAACTGATTCAAGACATTGAAGTTTTCGAAGATACCGGGCTTTAAAACTGCATTTGGCTTTACACATCTGATGTAATGTGGCTCTGTTGTGTTCAAGGTTTCCATCAAAGCTTGTAGTTGTTGCTGGATTTTGATGATTCATGAGAAAATCAGTGTTTTAAGAGTATGGAGAACCAAACAGATTGTCACTAATACATGGTAATTTGTCTCACCTTGAAGCGGGTTCCAATGGATGAGAACTTGGATTGCTTGGATGTTTCTTCAGGTTGTGGAGGGAAGAGATGTGCAACGAAAGTGCACCTGGAGGCATCCAATAGAGCTTGATGTTCTGCTACAACATAATCCTTATTTTTGTCTAGGAATTGATCAGCCAGGTAAGTAACCTGTTGGACCAAAAGTTTTTTACAGTGGGAAATAGATCATAGCGTATAATTGGATTATAAAAAATGGAACTCAGGATCGCTTACATCTCCAGCATAATGGTTGATTGTGAAGTCTGTTCGAGCAAGTTTTGGCTTGCTGAAGCGTTTATGTGCTTTATATGTCTGATACATCTTTTGTGCAAACGTCTCATGGGTTGCCTTGGGAAACATGCTGCAGTGGAAGTGTGTTAAACTATATGCCTATGCATATATTTGCATCGATAATATAAAAATTTTCCATTTGCAAGTACAGGTGACATCAGAGTGTGGGAGTATTTTTTTTTCCTCAGAAAAATAGGGGATATGGATGTTTATTGCCAGTCATGCAGCTACCACTTGGCTGTGCAAGGTTTAAAATTTGATCTTGAAGGTCATTCCAGTCATAAGTAGATGTGATCAAATCCTATGTTCTTTAACATATTGAGTTGTTTATGATAATGCAAGTGGGAACAATACATACCATGCTTCATCAAGAAGAGCAATTATACCCCCAGGTTTCTGCATTTAAGAATGCACAATTATCCTTCTAAACTTCCCATTATAGCCAAATAACGTGGAAGCTGAACGCGAATGGTCTTAGGAAAAGGGTCAATACCTTCTCAATGAGATCCAAAACATCTTGATTATCTACAAATTCTACGTAACTCCAGTCAATTTCCTCCCGTGTGTACTCTTCTTGTTCCATCTTGAATACATGCTGTAAAGACGCTTGTTCATTGTAATTGTACTTGCAGAATACTTATCTAAAAATGTAATTGTACATACAGAATATTGCTGTATGTATTCTGTGTAATGAAGTGCAGTATACCATATAGAATTGTCATGTTTACCTGATTAAAATGCTGTTGCAACTTCTCATTTGTTAGATTGATACATAGCTGCTCAAAACTACCAGAGTACACATGTAACAAAATTTCATGATTAGGTGTAAAAAAGTATAAAAGCTCAGAAGTCACGAAATCTACCATTGTGTACCTGTTAATCTTGAAACTCTCAAATCCATAAATATCAAGAACCCCAATTATACTGATTGCGTTGGGGTCTTGGCCAATTGAATTGTTTATCTTGTCCACAATCCTGCCATAGTTCATGAGTTGAGCATTAATGCGTACAATTTCACACACTATAATATAGATGTTGTTTTATTGAATCAAACTAAAATTAGAGGATGAGCTCATTAACCATAAAATTGTTAGACTAAAGAGCTTCAACAGGTTCAGCTATATTCTTCTGACTGCAGATCTATTGACTGACATCACTGTGGGTTTGACGCTGAAGCAAGCATCAAAGATCTATTTTAACACTGAAAGATTAACAAGGTTGCTTTAAAATGGGACAAAGTTAGGGAAGCAAAGGTTACTGATGGTTTTTAGTTAATCTTCAATGACATGAAGCACTCAAATAAGAGTGCAGTATGTCAGAGCATTGAAAAATTCTTGTCTTCAAGTAATGCAAGGTAATGCTACTAATGAAACCATAAAATAGTAAGCCTATTTAATTCAGAGATGAATATAGAAGATAGTGGTAAGTACCAAGGTAATGTGACGAATCTAGAATTTATATTGCCACTCAGTTAATGATTTTTCAAAGCGGTTGGATTTTAGAGGACCTGGAGGGTTTTTTTTAGTATATTTTTATATCTTCTCATTGTTAATGTGATATAAAGTCATGTTGATGAAACTTCATACCTTGAGTAGAAAATATTTTTAATTGTGGTTCTGTAATGCTTTTGTTGTAATTTGTTTAGCAGAAGTCTAATATTCTCATGCTGAAGTCCCTATCAGCCTGGAGGAAAGTTAAAACCAGAAGTTCGGGCTTCAAGGGGTGAGTTTAATTTGCTTACCAATCAAAAAGCCTGGAGTATATTGTCTTTGCCAGGGCATCACGACTCAAGGTAGCCGCAGCTACGTCTAGTAGTTTCGTAATGTTTCCATCAGGTGTTACTATCATACGCTTGCAAAGTGAGTCTTCGAGAGCCTTTTCATTGCACCTGGATAGAAGCACATTATGAGATGTTATTGATGCATAATAAGAGTCTAATAAAGAGCATTTTGTTGGGAAAAGTTTATTGGAGTTCAGACATGAGTAGTTCTGCAGCAGTTTGGAGATGGTAGACTGCTTTGTCATCTTTCAGTTTGGAAGAATCAATATCCTTCCCTTTGATGAATTCTATGTTTCCAAGATGGAGTATTGCAGCTACCACACGGAATATAGCATCCTACAAAAGGAAACCTTTAATTTTAGATACCAATAATGGGTCTTTCCAGTGTTTTCCTTTGTTCTTGCGCTGCTGTGGAGGCACAGTACCTGCTCATCCTGGCTGATCCCTACAACATCCATGGCGTTTCTGGTTTCCAGATACTCCCTTGCATCATCCACATTTGCAACTTCGTAGCAATTAGTTTGGTTTAGATAGTGGAATTTTCTTGGGTCTCCTAATTTGAATTTCTTAACATCCTGAAAGGAAACACGATTATCTGATAGTTACATATCATCACTTTGGTGGTATGGAGTATCAGATTTTGATTATACGGAAGTCACCTCTGGTGGTGCTGCACAGAGCATGTAGAAACAGTGGTAATTCCTCTCCGGGTCAGAGACTTGGCAAACACGTGATCTTTCAAGAAGATATGTCCGAACTGCAGCCCCAGATATCTTTCCATTCTTATCAAATTGAATCTCTACAAATTTACCAAAACGACTGGTACGACCACTCAGTCATGTAAGTTTTCTTGCAAATAAGTTTTCTTGCAATTCCAATCACAAAAGGATTAGACAATGGAAAAGGAAAAACTTAGATGGAATTGAAAAAAAGCATCTATATGGTTCACCTAGAATTGTTGTTTTTCACAGTTTTGGCATTCCCAAATGCTTCCAAGACTGGGTTGGACTGTAAGAAGTGAAAATATAACTCGTCATTGAATTTATAATATCATTAATATATATGAAGTAAAAATTAGATTGTACTCACCTCCAAAACTTGTTGTTCAACTGTTCTTCCTTCAGTATTTGATCTGCCCCCCATGAATGCGAGGTATCTCATAAGCATTTTTGTTGTTTCTGTCTTACCAGCTCCACTCTCTCCACTTACCAAGATGGATTGGCTCCCGTTTTCATTTATCATTGCCCTGATATATGGAATTATGGAATCAAGTCTTTTGTCAGATTATGCATGTTACGTGTCGCCTAATCTATACTCTGGAATCAGGCATACCTGTAACAGGTATCTGCAACCGCAAAGAGATGTGGACTTAGCTCTCCAAAAGCAGCTCCTTTGTACTGCTGCATCATGTGGACGTCGTACAAGTGTGGCAGTCTCCGGAAAGGATTTACCGCTATTAGAATATTCCCCGTGTAAGTCTGCTTATCAGGACTGGTTATCAGATTTCCAGTTGTTTTGTGTTTCTATGTTTTAAAAGCTTTCAATGAATCACTAAATAATTTACTGCAGTTCCAGAGTTAATTGGGTGGAGGCGACTCACATATATCTCATTGAGAGAAAATCTAGAAGCAAGGTTGTAAAGGACTCCCGGCTCATGGAGGTAAGCTAACTTGGTCATGTCATCGACCCCAGCTGGTGGTGCTTCTGTGTCTTTGGGGTATATACTGGAAATATCTGCAACTATCTGAAATCGAGAACGAAGCTAATACTTTGTTTGCTTAAACTTATGTGCAAATTGTTTAGACATTTAATATTGAATTTGATTTATTAATCCCTTGACATTTGATTTCTCCCTCAAGCAAATGTAGAGACAGATCAATAATTTAGGAACATTTGAATTCGATTTGTTTTGACATATGGATGCAATTCATTTTTGTTAATATGGAAAGAATTATAACAGTTTTAAGTTGGAACTTGGAAGGACTGGTATTCTTCTTCCTACTGAAGAAAACTACAGAAAATTTACCTTCATCAACTACAGAAAATTTACATAATTTTCACAACAATAATGCAAGGGAGAATCTCTGTTGGGATATTCAAAATTTATTCTCTTCCAATTAAAACTGTTTTTAAAAAGTTGTTACCCTAACGCCCCCCATAGTGTCACTTCAATTTCCAATTGAACTAGTTTTTGTAAACTGTCATCGTTTTTTTTTTTTGGTGTCAAATTATGAATAAAAAATTTGGAGTTTGTTGGCAGCAATATCAATTTACAAGTATATGAACTTTTTGATGTTGATTTATTAACACAGTGGAAAGTTTAAAGATAGCTAATCTAATACTTATATAGGCAATATTCATTTTCAGATCCAAACTATTCATACTGTTATATTTAAAATTACACAGTGCCTAAAGAGAGGTACCAAATGTTGTATATGGCATCAATTTCATTTTGTTCAGATTTTTACAATATGAATTGATCCAATGATCCTAGTAGCTTGATCACAAACACACACACACACAACACGAACATATATATGTGTATATGTATATATATATTGCTGCTATCCAATAAAGTGGGTGGTAAACTGGTAGTTATAGCTTACTTTTTCTCCATTTGTTTTGACTATGGTGGCTTCTTTGCCTTTGATTTCTATCACTTCTCCATCGATCCATGCAATTTCGGGATCCTCTGTCCACACATGTGATCCAACTATGATGTTTACAGGAGTTCCCTGGATCATCAAAGAATCACAAAAACAGAATATATAAATGTTTCTTACAAAGGTAAAGCTGTAGTTGATTGAAAATGAACATAGACTCATGATCAGCTAGACGATTACCATTTTTGGATTTTATATGATCATCAGATTCAGAACAGAATTGAGGAGCAAATGTATGCTTTTGTCTTGACACAGAGAGAGAGAGAGAGAGAGAGAGAGAGAGAGATTAGGAGAATGGTAGTGTGTTCTTAAGGAATGATGGGGTGGTGGATTGCAGAAATGAAAAAGTGGAAAAGAATGTTGAAAAGGAATGTTTTCAAAGCAGAGGAAATGAAGGTGGTGGTAACTCAAAAGCAAAAGACAGAGCAGCCACCGCTCACCTCCCCTCCTCCCCCACCTGTCATTTTTTTTTTTTTGCTCATTACACATAGGATGCTGACTTGGCACCAGCAGAACCCCCGATTTTGAATTGTAGTATCATATTTGGTCGGCGAGTTGTTTATATTCATTGGCCGACCCCATTCATATGGAACAAAGGCAAGAATGATGATGATGATGAGTTGTGTACGTCTATTGCTTAAGCACTACGATGCAGAGATGTTTGATTTATTTTATTTATTGCAACATCTGATGAATGGTCCCATTGCTTTGCCATGGTAAGGTCATTGTGTTCTTAATTATGGTTGTTGCATTACTGAGCATAGTGGGTAATAGTAGCATTCATGGAATGGTTTATAAAATTAAAAGTAGTTTACTTTTGAATAATTGTTTGCCTTAACTTTCTCTTAGATCAATAGGATTAAAGATAGCTTGTTGTGTCATGTCTCATGAATTATTAATGCTTCATGCTTAGCACTTCTAAACTTCCTAATATGCAATTTTATATTCTATTTTCCGCTGTTTTACAGGTGCATCTTCAACTAACTAGAAGTGTTGCTGGTCAGAGGTGTTTCTAAATTCGACTCCGAGCAGGGTAAACTTCTTTCTTTGGCTCTAATTTCTATTCTAGGATTGAAGATTTGGTTCATTTTTTTTACGGCATTTTCAAGAGTTGATTAATAGTCGTTTGTTAAAGAACTACAACACCAACATCTGCTGAAGGTAATTCTTGACGTAGGATAAGTCTGCTCGATTGTGAACTGGTCGTAGGTTCAAAACAACCCCAACCCAATAAGAAGAGCCTCTTGTTTTTGTAGTTGAGATCATTAGCTATACAACTTAGCAACCTAAATGGGCATCAGTTCAGAAGTCAATGGGATCAAAGAGGATCCCATCTAGTGATTCTAGTTGTAAAAGATCAAAAAGTAGAAATGAAAAATGATAGTGAAGTAGGGCCCAACTGGACACCTGGAAAGGAAAGACATTTTTGTGGGGGCCACATTTTCCCAACTTCAAATTCCTTGCCCACCCACCACCACCCTTTGCTGTGGTCATATGGGCCTGGGGTGGCTATGAATTGAATTGAATTCCTTTCCTTTTATTTTGGGCGGTGGAGTGGAGTGGAGATGGTAAACTCTTTGAATCCAAACCTTTCTGGAGGATGTACATTCACATGGGAAAAGGTCCTGAGGTCTGGGACCCACAACAGCCCTCTTTCACTTGCTTTCCAACAAAGCTTTCTTCATTTCTTTTTTCTTTTTTTTGTCCTTTCCTTTTCCACTTTTTTTTTATTTGTTATTACATATATTTGTATATAATATAAAATAGACTAATCATGATTATTCTTTCTTATAAGGCTGTTTACTCAGAAGGGTAGGGAATGTGCCCACCATAGTACCCTAAACTGCGCCTTTGCCACCTATGCAGATCTTGATCCCTAGATTCATATTATTCTTCCTCTTATTTTATTTTATTTTATTATTGTTATTTTGGGGTGAAATTTGGTGAGCATAAAAATAATGTGTGGGTATAATAATTGTATACAAAATTGAATATTATTCAATAAGGTGAAGAAAAACAAATACTTGTATAATTTAAAGCATATCGGATGGGATGGGATGTGATGATTAAAGTCGGTCCAAAAAGGAATTATTAAAGGATTCAGTGAAGTCATGATGTTTCTTTTTTATATATTTTTTAGGCTCCTTGGTCCTTAATTTAGAAATGGAAAGGAAAAGAAAGGAAAGGAAATATAAAAATGAAATAGATTTCCTTCTATTTTATCCTTTATTTAAGTGAAATTAGAAATTAGAAGTTTTTGAAAAGGAAAGGGAAATGCACAATATTAAAAGCTTCTTTCCTTTTCTCATATTTTATTTCCCCTCATGTTTTTTCATGTTAACCAAACAAGGGAAAATTGTATTCTTTATATTGTGTTTTCCTTTGCCTCATTAAGTCCATAAATGAAATCATAATTGAACAATATATAAAAAATTCGAAATTCCAGAGGTAATTATTATGAGAGTTAATGTCCAATTAATATGTTGAACTATGGTTTATCAGATAGAAGTCATTGAACTAATTTTAGTTAATGAGCAATTTAACATCAAATATATATTTTTTTTTCCCCAAGAAATTTATCCAAAACTTCAGTTTTAGCCCAGCTCATCCAATTTCTGGGCCCAAAATATAGGCCTGTTAAGTTTCGAAAGCCTCCTCTTTTGTAATAAAATATCTTGTGGGCTCTGCTAAGTGGACGGCCGTAATAAAAGATTTTGTGGGCTCTGCTGAGTGGACAACTATACTTTATTTATTTATTTTTATTATTTTGAGAATTTGGAGAGCCATACTTTGGTCAAAACAATTTATAAATCTTTTTGATCGCACTTATATTTATTAAACCCACGTATATTTATTATTATTAAAAAGGAGTTATACATCTCTTTAGATATGCTGTTGTGCTATAATCCATTGATTTGCAGGCTTAAAACAAATTATATACTGAAACGCTAATATATATATATATATATATATATATATATATATAGGCACCATAGTAAGGATGCTGTATCTTAAAACAAATTATATACTGATCCATCAATATATATATATATAGGCATGTAGAAGTTATTGGTTGAAGTATAAAATATGAAGATAATGAAAAAAATTAGGCCCAAGACCAAACTCCTATTATGTCATATGTTTGCCCATTTTACACAAGAAATAGCAATGGCATTTGAGGTCCAGATTTATTCTTTCGTGGACCTAGAATATAGCTATATCAAGTAAAGGCAAAAAGAATTGATCTGTTTTGAAGGCCCATCAAGCAAAGGAGAAAAGAAATAACCTGTTTGAAACAGATTTGGGTTTGGCAGGATCAAGCTTCATGAGCCCAGTTTTACATCAAATGTTGGGTCTATTTTGGTTCATACGAGCCCATTGGGCATGCTGTCATGTCTTAGCCCACTAATATATAAAATACTGCAAAGCTGTGTAAAATATTTTTCTCAAAAAAGACTTTTTATTTTTAGGTAAAATGTTTTTCTCAAAAAAGATTTTTCTTTTTTATGTAAAATATATATTTTTTATTTTTATTTTTCGGTATTAGGCAAAGGCCTAGGTCAAGATTGAGATCAAGTCTATTGGACTGAACATGTAAAATAACCTGTCGAAAATTGATGGTTAAATTATTTTTGTTAGGAATGGGATAGAGCAGGTTCGATATTTCAGCCGAAATGTCAGGCGTAATTCATCCTAATCTTAAAATACAACAGAATAGGACACGGGTGTCATCTCACTCTGTTGCATCCTAAGGCTAGGATCATGCATTAATCATTTCCCTTTCTCGAATTCGTCACACTTTTTGTGATAAGGTGCATGAATTTGTTATATTGGGTTGGGTTGTACACCTCTTTCACTGTCAACACTGTCAAGACCATCAATCTTAGGAAAACAGAGAATTGAGTGATGTAATGAAATCACTATTCGTATTCAATATTATAGGAGTGGCAATGGCATATATACGTTACATGCACCAACCCTTCCTTCAAGTCGATTGTGTTACATTGTCTGATATGGGTTCAAGTCAATTTCAAATCAGCAGCCAAATTTGAAGAAAATATGCCCTTTGCCCGTGTTTCTACAGTCAATGCATATTATATACACACACATGCATACGAGGTTGATAAAGTTCACTAAATGCTTAAACAAACATATATACCATCATATCAATATAATAATAGGGTTGACATAAAATGGTCATTAGTGTTTCCCAGCTATACATATACTGACAAAATCTAAACTTTAGAATCTCTCTATTTCAATTGAGATGTAATTCAATTAATTAGGCATTGAAAATTTTCAGGCAGAGTAGCACTGAAGTGATCTCATGACTGCCAACACCAAACTTTTGTTGAACTTTCAAACTCTAATCTTGAACATCCTTGGGTAGCTTCACGCACACCCACCAATATCATTTGTTGCTTGACCCTTTTGATATTTGATGATTAATCAGTGGACTAGGTTTGGAATGTCTTAAAGGGACCTAATAATGTATCCATTAACATTTGCAATTATTAATGATGGTGGGGGCTCCTTTGAGAAAAGTACAGACATAAATCTTGATTTAAAAAAAAAAAAAAATAGTCTATGGCAACACATATTTTTTAAATTTAGTGGATATTATTGAAAAAAACAATCGAGCCCAATACACCAGGATTTCGTCATTACAAGATTTGAAAAGAATCAGATGTATTTAGTCTTACTTTCGAAATCCTTGAATGAGGAAAATGATCCAATAACTTTGAAAGAATTGAATGACGAGTCGTGTGAGGGGAAAATTTCATGTACAATTTTGTAGAATGGCAGTAGGGGGAACTTTATATAAGATTCATTATTGCTATCTCATTAGTCCTTCTTCTCCACTAGATCTGTTCCCGAAAGTACCCTAAAAAAAAAAAAAAACTTTTTTCTCTCCAGCCATTTCAGGTTAAGAAGATGTGAAATCGCTTTTCTTTCTATAAATACGGTGCATTTCGAGGTGTGAAGCGAGAGAGAAGGGATGCCATAATTGGTGGTTTGAATAAGATCTATCTTTTTTTTTTTTCTTTTTTTAAGGTCTTTTTTTTCTTTTCACTTTCATATTGAAAAAAGTAATAAAGATTGAGAGGTGTTGAGCTTTTATTTTCTTGGCCGTTTCTCTTACATTATCGTCATTAAAAAAATTATATTTAGTTTCTAACCTGTATTAAAAAAATTATTTTTAGTTTTGAACCGGTGACTGACGAGTCATATTAAAACAAACTTACTATTGCACTCAGCCTGTCTTCATATTTGAAAAGATGGTAAAACTATAAGTGGAGAAAAAGTTTCTACACTTGTCATAATAATATGAAATTGGCAGCTCCATTTCCAAAAAGTATAATGATAACAAACCCTCTTCCATTTTAAAGGTAAAAAATGGTTATTGGATTCCCATACCCTACCTTCCATCAAACTTGATAAGGATGGATTTGGCCAGAGTTGGCTCCCTCTTTTAAAAATGGAAGTCACTATATTGTAATGTTAATGGTACTTATCCTAATTTTTATTTTTGGAAAGTGGATTACTCCTCATTGATTCATTCTATGTCATTGTCCAACCAAACCCCATCAACTGTAATGGGTTTTGGACCACACAATATGAGAATTGGATGGTTTTCCATGATATTTTTTAGTGCAGCCCCCACCAAACAATTCAAATTCCCATATCTATTAACCAGGTATTTTTCCAATGTCTCTCTCTACACAATACAGCTCTGAACACAACCCATCTTCCTAAACAACCCCAATTCAATATATATATATATATACACATACATACACACACACTACCCCTATTCTATATTGGTTATGGTCCTATATTTGTTTGGCATCCACACAACCTAGCACCCACCATGGGTTGCCCTATAGTGGTTGACAATAAAGTCATATTTGTATCACTTAGTTGGGTTCTTGTCCAAATGTGGATCAACCCAAGTTTTTAACCTCCAATTGATGTAAAGTGTCATTAACTAAATTTTGTATGGATTGTTATGGTGAAAGGGGCACCTCCAGTCACATTTGGGCTATGTCTACGTCCATGAACCAATGACAAATTGCACTAAATGCGATTGGCCTAAGACAGCCTGTATTTATAAATTTAATTTAATTCATAAATAAAATAAGAGAAGAAACATGTATCTCATATGCATTTGGTTCCAATTTGCCATCTCGCACATGCACATGGTATGTGTATATTTTAGTTATGAATGAATAAGCTCTTTATGAACTATTAGGACTCAACTTGATTAAAGCTGGGCTTGAGTTTGATAAGCAAGAAATCTGAACTCTACTTTATTACATGATTTGTTTATTTGTTTATTAATTTTTTTACCGTTCGTACGAGTTTGAGTTAGGTGAATAATGTTTAAATCATGAATGAATTTACTTTAAGATCGAACTTCAATTTATTTAAATGAATTGAGTTTGAGTTTAATACGTGATTGCAAAAATTGGTTAGAATACATCATTCTTACTCGAATTAAGACTTGAATTTAATTGACTAGTTTAAACTTAAATTGACAAAATTTTATCTCGGTTCAACTGTAATTTATACATATATTATAAATCCCCAATCAAATTTGTTAACATTCATTATTTTGCCTACTTTACTATGATCAACATTAGTAATGTTTGAACTAAGTTGGACTTTGTGATTGCAAATGTTCAAATAAGTTTAGTTAATTTTTAGAGTAATGTTTAAATAAAACTTAAACACACTATTCTTGCTCAAACTCGAACTCAAATTCTAGCTCTAGTTGATTTTTTTTTTCAAACTCTAGATGAATTCTCTAGCTCAATATAATAAATGAAAATTTGTCTTGACTAAGTTGAAATATGTATATGTATATGTATGTGTAATATACACAACCCGACCCGAAAACTTCATAGCAGCCCTACTTCACTTTTTATCACTTTTTATCAACATCACCAATAGCAGTCCCGAAACGACAAATAAACCGTGGATAACCGTAACTAATCGATGCATATTCAAATCATTGAATCCCCCACATTCTATTCATTTACTACTTTTATCAAAAATTTCCCTTTTTATCCTCCAATTCAACCCTCTCATCGGTGAAAAACCAAAGCGTCGGCAATTTCAGTTGGACGTTTCTGTGTGTGCGTGACTCTGTGTTTCAACACATCGATCTGTATTCCAATTTTTTTAAAAGAGCCACCGAGAGACAGAGAGAGAGAGTTTTGTGGGGGTGCGTAGGATAAGCAGAGGACTCTTATGGTTGTTGGAGAACACTCACTTTGAGAGCTCTTAGTCGTACATCCTACACCCACTTTCTCAACCATGGCGGCGCACTTTAGCAGTGGGAATAGGAGAGAGGTGGTGATGGGTTTGAAGATTCTCTGTTGCTTATTTGCATTCTTGGTGCCACTCTGTAATGGAGGCAGAGTAAGCACATCTTTTCAGAATCTTGAGGTTCAGAAGCACTTGAAGCGTTTGAACAAACCTCCCCTCAAATCCATCAAGGTCCCCTTCAAACCCTTTTCTTCTCTCTCTCTATATATATATTTATATATATATGCATATCTATAGCTTATTTTTGCAATAAATGTTGTCAAAAAACAGAGTCCAGATGGAGATGTAATCGACTGTGTCCATATCTCCCACCAACCAGCTTTTGAACATCCTCTCCTCGGGAACCACACTGTTCAGGTCACCCTCTCTCTCTCTATAAATATATGTGTGTGTGTGTATTCTGAGGGCGAGCATTGACACAATAGTAAGGTTGGAGGTGAATCAGCCTCTAATGTCGTACATCTGACCATCCCCAAACCTCGCAATGTGGGGGAGGTTCGTGCACTAGGTTTGCCCTTTATATATATATATCCTATTTCTTAGTTGTATTGATTAGAATGGAATTGTTTGTGATGGTTATAGATGAGACCAAATTATCACCCAGAAGGGCTATTTGATGAAAGCAAAGTGTCCACTCCTTCAGAGAGCAGTGGAGGAACAAGCCCAATTACTCAGCTTTGGCATGTAAATGGGAGGTGCCCAGAAGGGACAATTCCCATCAGAAGGACTAGCAGTAAAGATCTCCTCAGAGCAAGCTCTATCCAGAATTATGGGAAGAAGAACCACAAAACCTTCCCTCAACCCAAGTCTGCTGACCCTGACCTTATCAATCAAGGTGGCCACCAGGTACAACAATGTGTGTGTATATACATACATATATATATATATATAGGATAAAAAGAAATCTTTTTGATCTACTAGCTTTCTTGCTTTTGCTTTTCTCTTTTACCCTCAATGATTTTCTTTTTTCCTTTGGGATTTTGTTGTTTTGGAGCTTTTTAGCATGCAATAGCTTATGTGGAAGGAGATAAATACTATGGAGCAAAAGCGACTATAAATGTTTGGGAGCCCAGGATTCAGCAGTCTAATGAATTTAGCTTGTCACAGATTTGGATATTGGGTGGCACTTTTGCTGAAGATCTCAACAGCATTGAAGCTGGATGGCAGGTATACATACATTTACACATCTATAAAATATTGAGTCTGGATCATCTGTTGTATCGGGTCCGTGTTGCAGAAGTGTTTCAATGCACTTATTTCGCGTTTCAACTCATTTGTTCCACATTTCAACCGATAGAATAATGTGTTGAAACATGAAATAGATTTCAACACACTTAAATCGTGTTTGAACGCATTTGTTCTAGATTTCAACATACGGTGTTGAAACACTATTTAAGTACATTGAAAATCTCTATAGCATTATTACTTCGTGTTTAAACACATTAGTTCTATCCTTTGAAATGTAGAACAAATGAGTTGAAACCTATTTAAGTGCGTTGAAAATCTCTACAACATGCTAGGATCGAGATGCCTTAATATTATTAGTGTTTTAGTTTTGATCATTTGTTGATTTTTTATTATCTGGTTTCTGTTGTGTTGAGAGAAAAACAGGTGAGCCCAGATTTATATGGAGATAATAACACCAGACTTTTCACCTACTGGACTGTAAGTGACACCATCTTTTGGCATTGCCTTTTTGTGGGGTTTACATTTGTATGTGTACTGCTAATGTATCCAAAATGTGTATTGAGTGTGTGAAAATTTGGGAAAATGACAGAGTGATTCTTATCAAGCCACGGGCTGCTACAACCTCCTTTGCTCAGGCTTTATTCAAATCAACAATGAGATAGCAATGGGGGCAAGCATCTACCCACTTTCTGGCTATCATAAGTCCCAATATGATATCAGCATACTTGTCTGGAAGGTAAAGTTTAACTCTAAATTATTGACTCACTCTCTCTGTTCAAAAATTCAAAGTACAGTTATATATTATGTGCAACAAAAACATAGTATATTCTCCTTTCCAAATTTTATATATGGATTTTCTTGTCCCAACGCAAAATTGTTCGTTGCAGACGCGAATAAGTTAACTCAGTTCAACTCAACAAAGCTTTTATCACCGATGCAAGCACCAATTGTTCAACTATTTCTATGATTAAACATTGTTTATATGGTAGAAGGTCTAAAATCGATCGACTAGGGATTTGAACCCTCAACCACTCATGTGGGAGGAGGAGATGCCCATTGAGCTAAATTCTTGGTGATAATATTCCTTTAACAATATAAAACACTTGTATATATGTATATGTATATGTATATGTATATAGTACTGTAGAAGATTATGCAAATATACAGGGAATCTCTGACATGTTCTGTTAGTAGGTGCATGTTTTATATTTTTCTTTTTGTGTTCATATGTTTGTTCATTATCATATATTTTATAATATCAGTTTTGATTATTTTTGTGATGGGTTATTTTTATATATTGATAGGATCCAAAAGAAGGCAATTGGTGGATGCAGTTTGGGAACAACCAAGTGCTAGGTTACTGGCCTGCTTTCTTGTTTTCATATTTGACTGACAGTGCTTCAATGATTGAGTGGGGAGGAGAGGTTGTGAACTCAGAATCAGATGGGCAACACACCACCACTCAAATGGGCAGTGGACACTTCCCTGAGGAAGGGTTTGGCAAGTCTAGTTACTTCAGGAACATTCAGATAGTAGATGGTTCCAATAACCTAAGGGCTCCTAAAGATGTCAACACCTTCACTGAGCAGTCCAACTGCTATGATGTCCAACTTGGCAAGAATGGTGATTGGGGCAATTTCTTCTACTTTGGTGGTCCTGGTAGAAACCCTAATTGTCCATGACCAATTTGAAAGAAAAAAAAAACGAAAAAAAAATAATAATAATTAGTAGTGTTATTCTTCTGCCCCTATTCTCCCAAGTCAACTTTAAATGTACTTATGTGACCACCATTATTATTGTACCTCTCTTTTAGGTTAGACTAGTATAGCAATGTGCGAATCTCTCTTTGTAGTGGGAATATATATATATATATGTATATTTTTAATTACTTTTTCTTTTTCTTTTTTTAATTAAATTGTTGGAGAAAGAAAGGTGGTCAAGTTTCTCAAACTCAAGAACAGGCATCTTTCATACTCCTTATATAAATGTATTTGCTTGAACGCTCCTATCTTGGGAGTGGTAGTTTGTTAATGGATGAATCAAATTTATATATGTTGTGTATTTGAGTACAGATTTTGACATTAGATTCAATTATTTGCATGAGTAAAATGGTTTTCAGCTTTTACAAATCTGTTGTTGTTGTTGTTTTGGATTGTAAAAAAGTTAGCCGGGGTTTGGGCTCTGTGATAATGGGACATTTGAATAATTTGGTTGAAGCAGATGGCCATGTGAATGAATAGACATCCACATGCGTTTCTCCTCTTTTGCTGTGGACCATCACTTGCAGTGGTAGCTTTTTGTGGACCTGCTTTAAGGTGGTCATGTCTCCGATCGCTTTTAAGAAAATTTTCTACTGTCATTATCATGAGCTCAACAGTACATCATCACGAGGGTGCTCCCAGAATTTTTATCGAGGAAGTTACTTCGGTATCATTGATCCAATGGTTGAGGATGCAAACATATGATAAGAATGTTCGTACAATTTTTATATAAACAGAAATACAATCCTAATCAGATGAATTTGATTGCACATTCAGCAAAAAAAAAAAAATCAGAATTAGAGCTGACAATCAAACAAAAGTACAAGGTTCAATGGCTCTTGTTTTGATTTTTGAAATATGGAGCTGAAAGTACAAAGAATTTTCCCCTAATCGTAGAGAAAGAAACTTTACACTCCCAATGATTTTTCAACCTCTTTTCCCTCTCAATCCCCTCTATTTATAGACAGTTATAACCACTACTGAGCTGGACCTATCTTGTTCTCTTTTGGCTGGACTCGACTTCCCTCATTTTAACATGGGCTTCTGAAATGACTTTATGGACCTGGGCCCATACGGCGCGAACTTGCTCCGTCCCGTTTGTCCACACCCGACCCGTCTTATGCAATGTGGATCACACCAAACCCGGGTCATTTTGGTGTCCTCATCTGCCCCCAATAATCTCTTTCCTCATTAATGAGGGTGAGATTCTTGAAAGGACACGATCTTGGTCTGACGGCTTGGAGCAATGACTCGAGGAATCGAACGGCTGGCACAAGAACCCAAGTTTCGAGATCTGCAGCACCACTTTTTGCCTTGACCTTTGGAGTTCCATGTCACTTTTACTTCTCCTCTTTATAAATTCTGGTCTTTCAACCTCCACCCTTCCTCTTACCTCTCGCTTCTACTCTCTGTTGCTTTCTTGCACATTCCGGCGATCCTTTTTAATTTCTCCTGCAAGTTCTTCCAGCAAGTCCTTCCTTTTCAATTTTTAGCTACTATGCAGTTGCTGAGTTCATCACAAACTTTCAAGGTTAGTTTTTTTATAAAAAAAAACCTCTCCTTAGGAGACGCCTTTACTGCCTAGGACTCTTCCCCTTTTTTATGGCTTCCCCTAACCTGAACGCCATTCGATCCAAGAATTATATTCCTCACGACGTTTCTCTCAGGGTCTACCCAACAAACTTAGATGAGAGATCTGACGAGGGTCTTCTTCCTGGGGAAGTTTTATTCTTCACCGTTCACTTGAACGTCATTAGGTTCCCTGTACACCCGTTCTTTTGTTATGTTTTCAACAAGTTGGGGCTCTGCCCTCTACGAGTTAACCCAAACTTCCTTAGGGTAATTTCAGTCCTCCTGCTCTTGAATCGTGATAGGGGTCTCAATCTTGACATTATTGACCTTCTCTTCTGCTATCGGATTAACAAGATTTCACAAAACGACTTGTACTATCACTTCTTTCCTATTGACAAACGGTCGATCTGCACGGATAAAAGCTCATTTGAAAAAGGTTGGAGGCAGAATTTAATCGTGGTTGGTGGGAATTGGCGGACTCCGCCCGGCCATTCCTTCCCTATCCCTTCTTCCTTTAGAGCATGTTCTGTCTCTGGCTACAAAAAGCTGAAAACACATCCTACCGAATGCCATTGTGAAAGTTGTCTTCCCCGTTTTTGCACTTTTCTTTGTAGATGCCTTCAAATTCCCCATGATGAATTAGTTTATAGCGTCTGCAGGGCTAGGCTAGATACCTTGCGAGAAAGTGTGCTGAACGATGTCCCTTCAGCTACTGATTTGCTTATATCTGATAATCTCTCTGGCATCTCTCTTTTAAGGTCTACAATGGAGAACATTCAGATCTCATCGTTCAGCAGGAGGAGGCCTCCTGCTCCCACCCCTCCTAACGCTCCTGCCACCATTTCATCATCTACACCTGCTTCCACATCATCTCTCCTTGCTGTCTTTGCCCTAGAGCAAGTCGCGGTTGCCCCAGCTGTGATTCAAGTCTCAAACCGTTCTGCTAATGCGCCCTCTGAGCTCACCCATGCTGAGAACCCTGTTGTGGGCCACACTGCTGAAGTCCGTCCTGCTGCCCCAGTCATTATGCCATCAAACATCTCGTCCGACACTTCCTCAGAGAGCACTCAGGATGCTGGAAATTCTGAGGACAATAAGGGGCCAACTAGTACTGTTCTGTCGGAAAAGAATTTAGGAGAAAGGCCAATGCCTAAGGGCAGTCATGATCAGGGTGATATCCCACCGACCCGAAGGATCAGGTCGGCTTCCTTCAGGGTTACTGAACCATCGCCCCCTGCCCGGTTCTTCATTCCTGAAGGCGAGTCGGCCAGAACCTCTGGTCCAATTCCATCCGTTCTTCCATGGCGACCTTTGCTCAGCCGTGAAGATGGATCAACCATTGGCCCCACTGACTCAATATACAAGGACCCCCTCACCTCATTTGCTTTCTACAAGGGTTTCTGGACCCCCAACGACCTTGAAATCCATAACAAGCTATCCTTTGGTGAGATGTTCCAACGGTTCCCGACCGCTGCTATGGAGGTGACTCTTCTTCTACTGAAATGTGTTCCCTTTCAGTTATGATTCCTTAGTAATTAGTCTGACCTGAATTTCTTTTTCTTCATGCAGACTCTGTTCGGGATGTTCACCTTTCAAAAAACAATTGAAACTCTGAACAAAAAACTTAAGTCTCTCTCTGTGGGCCTTAAAAGGTCTGTTGAAGCAGAGACTCTTCTTGAGGCTAGAGTTGCTGAGCAGGAGTCTAAGCTTAAGGACTCAGAGAAGGGAGTTGCTGACCTAAAGGCAGAGAGAGACGGTCTGGCAAACGAGAAGGATTCCCTCAGAGCTGAACGGGATTCCCTGAAGACTGAACGGGATTCTCTTCATGATGAGGTTGACATCTTAAAAACTGAGAAGAGTGTAGCTCTGACAGAAAGGGACTCTCTCAAAGCCGAAAAGGGAGACCTTCAGCGCTCATTCATTGCTAAACGGTTATCGCATACGAATTCCCAAGAAAAACTTCTAAATGAACGGTCTTCCCTGATGAACATGATCGGCAGAGTCGAAGGGGGTATGAGAGCTCTCCTTGCTCGCTTTACCAGGACCAGTGCCATCCGGTATGCTGAAGGGTACAGAGATGGTTTTGTTGACCGTTCTCCCCCTGAAGGTGAATCAAGTTCTTGTGCTGGTCCTGATGAACTAGATGCTTCTCTGGACATCCACCCCCCAAACAATTATCAAAATCCACCATGTGACCCAGCTGAGAACATTTTTATTGAATGCATAAAGGTCGCATCTTCAGGAATTGTCCCACCCTTTTATCCCCTGAACATTCTTCCTCTTTCTACCAACGTGCCCTCTTCCTCTGTTGCTGCCGACAGACCTATGCTTGCTGAGGGGGTGATTCATCTCGACTCCCCTTCTAAGGATGATAGGGCAGGTGAGAATGGAGAATATCTCGATGGTCCAGAGGAAAATGGTGGCGAGAATGACAAGTCACAGCCTGGAGAAGATCAGAACTGACACCCAATAGCAGTTTTTTTTTTTTTTTTTTTTTTAAATCTGCATGTATGGTACTGCGTACCCTGAGGCCTTTTTGGTTATGAATGATAATGTTTTTGCTCATCATCACTTTCCTCCTTTGAGTTTTCTATTTTCAGCTTTGCAGTGTATTTTCACAAGTGCTTAACGTTCGATCATGTCATCATTCTGTCCTTTTCTTACTCATTTGTGAGCAAGTGTTTGGCGTTCGGCTTGAATTGCCAGCTGCCACTAACTTGCTGAATGCCTGGCGCTCGGCTTGAACGCCTCTTGCCATTTGGCTTCTTTTTATTTTTATTTTTGAGCAAGTGTTTGGCGTTCGGCTTGAAGTGTCAGCTGCCACTAACTTGCTGAATGCCTGGCGCTCGGCTTGAACGCCTCTTGCCACTTGGCTTTTTTTTTATTTTTTAGCAAGTGTTTGGCGTTCAGCTTGAAGTGTAAGCTGCCATTAACTTGCTGAATGTCTGGCACTCGGCTTGAACGCCTCTTGCCACTTGGCTTTTTTTTTTTTATTTTTTAGCAAGTGTTTGGCGTTCGGCTTGAAGTGCCAGCTGCCACTAACTTGCTGAATGCCTGGCGCTCGGCTTGAACGCCTCTTGCCACTTGGCTTTTTTTATTTTTAAGCAAGTGTTTGGCGTTCGGCTTGAAGTGCCAGCTGCCACTAACTTGCTAAACGCCTGGCGCTCAACTTGAACGCCTCTTGCCACTTGGTTTTTTTTATTTTTAAGCAAGTGTTTGGCGTTCGGCTTGAAGTGCCAGCTGCCACTAACTTGCTGAACGGGAAGAGTGTAAATTTTTAACAAAGAGACTTTTTATAAAGCATGAAAATTTCGTACACTTGCAAGCATGCAATTTAGAACGTACAATATGCTTGAAATTAAACTCTGTTTTTACTGGTAGTGCCTTTTTATAGACGTAGCATTCCATGGCTTATTGACTACCCTTCCTGTCATAGTTTCTAGGACGTATGCCCCCTTCCCTATGACTTCTGCTATTCTGTACGGACCTTTCCATGGGGAGAACATCTTTTTGACTATTCCCACCTTCCTTTTCAGAACCAGATCGCCAAGAGCGAAACCCCTGTGCCTCACCTTCTTGTTATGGCTATTCACAAGCGTCTGTTGATAAGAGGCAAGCCTCACTGCAGCCGCATCCCTTTTTTCTTCCAACAAATCAAGATTGAACCTCAGCATTCTATCATTCTGCTCTTGATCCCACGCCAAGCTCCTTACAGTTTAAACCAAATGCTCGACTGGTA